GCTACACCAGACAAGCGCTATATCACTGGTAAACCCGATGGCACCTTCTTTGGATTTGGCCTTGATCGAGAGAGCGGTGATCGGCCGCTCTTTTCCCAGCAGCTCACTTCCCCTGTTGCTCGCGTCTTTGATGTCCTTCGTCGTCAGTGGAATCCGACCGGCAGCAGCGACACCGACTTGATTATCCTTCCCCAGCCTCTTATCCCCGTTAATCCCGGTATTTCGCGCCTTCGCAGCGGAAAGGTTTTCGTCAATCATACTGAAGAGGGTAGCTGGTATGCTCTTTCGGGGACTCAGTATCCCCTCATTCTCCACGCCCCGCCTGCCCCCATCCACAAGTATTGGCCGTTGGAAGGTATGGACGAAGACAAGTTGTCCGAAGCACTCGTCGGCACTCATGATCTGCCCGACTGGCGGATCCCCAAGGAAATCAACCGCCTAGTGCCACTTTTGGATGCGCCTCCTCCTCCCGCCGGAGACGCCGTTATTACTGGCAACCCCACGCTTCCGTCGTCAGCAGGGGCACTGCCCGGGATACCAGCACCGGATACTGCTACGGCACTCCCTGTGCAAGCTTTTGACTTTTTCCGCAACCCCTTTACTCTGCTGGTTGGTATTGTGGTTGTCATTGCCGTGTGGACAAGGGCTTGGATACCTCAATCATCCAAGAAAGGCTACTCCTTGGAGGGTTTCGTGGATTTCACGAGAACGCTCGGGAGAAAGGTTGTGGACCTCTCACGCTTCAGGATTCACGTTGTCCGTACAGAGCCAACACCAACCGTAACTGATGTCACCCCGCGCTTGGAGGCGGCTAAGGCGGAAATTAGTAAGCCCGATACCTCCTCGCCAGACCCGTCCGCCGGGGATTCTGGCTCAGATGAAGGGCTGGCAAAGAAGGAAGTGACGTTTGCCGACCTTCCAAAGTCATCTGAGACGCCACCAAGCGGCGATGCAAATGATGCTCCTGCTGAAACTGTCAAGCCGAAGAAGAAGGCTCACAGAGGTCGCCGCGGCGGTATAAAACACCGCAAGGGTCCTCGAAGTGAGAATACCCAGTCCCGTGATGACGAACCCCCTGAGCCCACTGTGGACGAAGTCGTCAAAAAGGCTAAAGAGATTGGCCAACAGCCAAACTTGGAGCCAGACGTCATCACCATTCCAAATGGTGTCGATAATGTTTCTGGTCCTATTTTGAAGATGGGTAGTCTGGAGGTCAACCAGGAGCAACAGCTCGGCATAGGAAGCAACGGTACCATCGTTTTCGCCGGAAAGTGGGATGGACGTGCTGTTGCCGTGAAGCGCATGCTGGTCCAGTTCAATGAGATTGCCAGCCAGGAAACCAAGTTGCTGAGAGAGAGCGACGATCATCCGAACGGTGAGTGGTATCAGCATGTGAACTTGATCGATCATGTCCCCCTTACTAACTGTCGCAGTCATCCGGTATTTCGCTCAACAACAGTCTGCCGGATTCCTTTACATCGCTCTCGAACTCTGCCAGGCCTCCCTCGCAGATGTCATCCAGCGGCCCAGTATGTTCCGTGAACTTGCTCAGGCGGGTGAGCGCGACATGCCGGGAGTCTTGTACCAGGTTGCCAAGGGTTTGAGCCATCTGCACAGTCTTAGGATCGTCCATCGTGACCTCAAGCCCCAGAACATCCTTGTCAACATGGGCAAAGATGGTCGCCCGCGTATTCTCGTTTCTGACTTTGGCCTTTGCAAGAAGCTGGAAGGCGGACAGTCGTCGTTCGGCGCTACTACCGCCCACGCGGCTGGTACGACCGGCTGGCGTGCCCCGGAACTGTTGCTTGACGACGATGGAGGCCCTGGACCGGGTGCCATGATGACCTTTACCGACCCTGGTTCCAGCATGCACAGTGCTTCCGGTACAGGTTCTGGAGTTGTGGGAGCTGGTGTCAACGTGCGCCGCGTCACCCGAGCGATCGACATTTTTTCCCTTGGTTTGGTCTTCTTCTATGTCCTCACCAAGGGACACCATCCCTTTGACCTTGGTGATCGGTATATGCGCGAGTCAAACATTCGCAACGGCAAATATGACTTGCAACTTCTCGAAGTTCTCGGGGACTACGCTCATGATGCCAAAGACCTCATCGAGAGCATGCTCAACACCAATCCCAAGAAACGGCCCACCGCGATCGGTGTCATGGCTCATCCCTTCTTTTGGAGTCCCAGGAAGCGCCTCAATTTCCTTTGTGACGTCTCAGATCACTTCGAGAAGGAGCCTCGCGATCCTCCCTCGCCAGCACTCGCGTTGCTAGAGGAGCAGAGCCCTTGCGTGATCACCAACGGTGATTTCCTCAAGACCTTGCCCAGGGAGTTTGTTGATTCACTGGGCAAACAGCGCAAGTACACAGGCAACCGTATGCTTGATCTCCTGCGGGCGCTACGCAACAAGAAGAACCACTACGAGGACCTTACCCCCCAGCTTAGGAAGATGGTCGGGCCATTGCCGGAAGGATACCTCAGTTTCTTCACGACACGGTTTCCCAACCTTCTGATCAAATGCTGGGAAGTGATTGCGGATCTTGACCTGGAGGAATCGGATCGGTTCAAGGAGTATTATGAACCGGCTGGGCTGTAGCGGATGTATATTTTGTTTCTTTCTTTTTTTATATTGCTTCAGCGTATTTGCCAAATTACATGCTTTTTCTGAAACATATCCTTCCAGTCTTCCATGCGTCGTACATCAACCTTTCCTCCGTAACTGATCTTTCGCCCTTGAACGCATCTGATGCCAATTTGTGCCTCTTCCCACCTGGTCTCCCCTCATCCCCAGTTCACCATCACTAGCTTGACACTACTGCAGAGTTCTAGGCCCTTGGCTTACTATCACAATCACAGGAGTTTGCCTCATAATCAGGTTAAACCTGAATGGCAAGTGTCGGGACCGAGTGGCTGAAGCGATGGCTTCACAAACACTACCTATTTAATGACAACTGAAGAACGCTGGCTACGCTCCCATAACTAGGTTTTTCCAACACCACCACCCCTTTCGCCTTGGAGAGCCAGGTGTATGTACACTACTCCTACATTGGCATCATTTCATCATCTGGTTGCAGATTCAATTCAAATAATCAATCAAGCGCGCGACCTTTTAACTTCATTCAATTACGTCGGACCCGGAGCCCAAGTCCCGGACCTCTACCCGAACCCGGGCTAGCAAAGTCGGACCAGGACCCGGACCCAAGTCACCCGACCCCGATTCTAAACCCTTGAAATAATCATCGTCGTGGCCAGTCCCGGTCCCACCCACTTTCAACACCCCCATGAACTTCCCAGGCTCCTCGGTCTGCCTTTCTCCTTCTATATCCTTCTCATTCTCCTCCCCTTTTCTCATCCTCTCCACCCCTGTTTTCCCCTCCCCCCGCTCCTTCCTTTTATAGGTACTCCTCTTCGCTCCTTCTCCTCTACCTCATCTTCCCCCTTGCTTTCCCCCATCCCTTCCAACCCTGTTATGTTCCCTTTTCCCTCCACTTCTTCCATGCTCCCCTCCCTCTCCCCGGGGTAGAGGTAGAGTGTACCTTTGATGCACGACGGCCACACACAACCCCTTTGTTTTGTTTTGTTTACACCTTTTTATTTATAGTCCAGGGGAAGGGGGGGCAGGATCGAGTAATTCTAAGGGGTTACCTCTAGGTAGCTATGTACCTAGGCTCGAGGTAGGGTAGGTCAGGGGCAAGGCTTTCCGTGAGCCGAACGTGCAGGCAACCGCTGCCTGCCCAATATTATACCTAGTCTATGTAGCCAATTGCACCACCTACCCCCTTTCCTCTCTTGTGCGCCGCCAACAACGGAAGATTAAGCCTTACTAGGTACAGAAACACGGACGGCCCTAAGTAATCGTTCGATGTTTTGAGTTGTGTCCGAAATGTTATCCAAAAAGTTGCCCCCTGCTAACTAAAAGCTAAATCACGAAAACAAAACCCGAGGCACAGATATCACGCTCCTGCCTCACAAGTATACCTAGCTAGTTCTTATTGACTAGTAGTGACTACAGCCCATTCCGGCCCATACCTATCTCGCAACTGAGCAAGCGCGTAACAAAAAAAGCGATCAGAAGAACAAAAGTGCAAGAAAACAAAAAAAAAAAAAAAAAAAAGAAGAGGAAGTGGACGTACAGCTACCGGGTTCGAACGCGCAGCGTACATGAGAGCCGGGGGAAGGAAAGGAAGGGGGGGGCACAACAACCGTGCCCGCTGCGCCATCCTTACCAGCTTGCCACGGAAGTAATCACGGGGGAAGTAATACATATACCCTAGTACTACAAGGGCTGGATTGCGGGCTACCTATGCCCAGTTGAAGAGTTGGTTGGGATGGAAGACGCCGGCGGGTGAAAGGAAGGGACGCATGATGGAAGGTGCCATACACGGGATGCGCAAAGCTCCCGTCATTGATTGAAAGCTTCCCATGGAAACTTTGCTGTGTGTGGACTACGGTTACTTTGAACCTTCATCTTCGTTCGATTCAGGGATTTTGATTTTTATATACCGGGCTGGTTCAACAACGAGGTCGCCTCCAGGTGACGAGCGGTAACATATGTGCCCACAACCCATCCAGCTTTCCCTAGGTACATTACCTGTCATCATCATCATCGGGGGTATACCCGGTAACTAACGTAAAAAAAAAAAATAGAGAAAAGTGAAAGCGAAAGTATGAAGAAAGTGATCATGTTCTTTTCCTTGCAATGCTTTCTTTTGTGTCCCAGCCCAGCCCCAGCTCCGAGACCCAGAACGACCAGACGCGAACAAGCCGGGATACCTAACCGACAACCGGTCCGACTCATAACCATAACCATTACCCTAATATTTAACTCAAAAGCAGAACGAAGAAAACTCCGAGAATGATGCACCCAAGGCCCCGCCCCCCTTTTCCCTTTCTTTGTTCTCTATCCAAAATGTCACTGCCTTGACTCTTCAACCTTCACTGTAGCGTGCTCTGTCAGTCGGTCTACCTCAGTGTCCTGTCTCGCGATCAAAACATGCTGAGGTAGACCGACTGACAGAGCACGCTACAGTGTGAAGTCCCCTTTTTCCTCCGTTGCGGCCCACCCCAGGCCCAATACCCAGATGCCCTTTGAGAGAAAGATAGATCATTCCACCCAGTCAGTGGTGCACTGGCCCCGCTAGGTATCGCACCTGCCCGCCCTCCCTGTCTGGAACCTCCTCCACTTCAAATACCCGAGTCCTCCTGCTGGAAAGACTGCGAGCCCAAGCTATTTGACCAATTTCCACAAATGTCGTTGAACTGCGTCAGATCCGAATTGCTCACGTCCGCCTGGATGTCCGCCTCGCGCTCGAGGAACTCCAAGCTCAACCCTTCGCTCGCGTGCCAAGCGATGTGGCAGTGGCAGAGCCACGCTCCGGGGTTGTCGGGCATGAACGCTATGGCGAGATACCCGTTGCCCGGAAGGGCGGCGACGTCGCGGCGCGGGGGGTTCTTGGTCTTGAAGTTGTTTGGAGAGGTGGAGGCGTCGAAGGTGCCGGTGGACTGGTCAAGGATCCAGAAGTCGTGGCCGTGTAGGTGGATGGGGTGTTCGAGACCGAGGTTGGATTGGTCTTGGATGACGAGGACGATCCATTCGGAGTCGTTGGTGTTTTTCTGTGAAGATGAAAGAGATTAGTCAGGGGGTATGTCCGATGGGAGGGAAAAATAAAAACGAGGAAGCGGCTTACATTGACAGCGAGAACGTTGTAGTCGGTTGGAAACAGGCTCTCGCCGTTGAACACTTGTTTCAAGGTTGGATTGGCCCAGTCGATGATCAGACTGCTTGTGTTGATGGTCCAGTGAACGTAATTTGTCTTCGAAATGTTCAAGTACGTGTCAAAGCTTTTTTGGATATTGGTGACATCGATCTTGAGATGGGGGACAAGCGATGACAGAGGTTCATCAAGGCAATCGGTGCTAAGGGTAACATCACTTGTCGTGGTCGGGTCTAAGGTGCTGCTGACATTGTACCGAAGGACAGAGGTGATGCTGTCGGGATGTTCATTTGGCTGGCAGCTGTTCAACCACCCGGCACGTATCCAGTAGTTGTCAACTGCCTGGTTGGCATGGAAGATGACATCGTACCGCTGGCCCTCGGTGAGTTTCAAACTAGAGGTACTGTAGGGCTTGATGGGAACGAGATCGGCAGCGATGACCTTCAACTTGTGCTTGTCAATGCTGAACTGGAACACACCATCGATAGCCGCATTGACCAAGCGAAGGCGGTACTTCTTGCCCTTCTCAACCACAGTTGTTAACTTTACTCCTCGTCCGGTACAGTTCGGGTCAGTTGTTGAGTTGCTGCAGTCGTATTTGTTGGTTCCGTTGATGAGACCGCTCTCCAGGGCAGGAGGTTGACCGTTCCGGGCGGCAAACCACCGAGTAAAGACATCAACGTGGGACCAGTCTGAGAGAAAGAGATGGCCCAGGTCCTCGTCGTAATTGGAAGTTGCGGGTCCGTGAAAGATCATGCCACCAAAAACACCGTTCGCGTACTGTAGACTGAAGTGACTGTGGTACCAGGTTGACCCATACTGGCTGACCTTAAACTGGTAAGTCATGGACTGCCCGATAGCAATGGCGCATTGAGTGATTCCTGGAACTCCATCGTAGATGTTGCTACCAGATTGGCGAAGACCATGCCAGTGGATGGCGGTGCCGTTGGACTGCAGGTTGTTGGTAACATGAATGATAAGGCTGTCACCCCAGTCGGCGATGATGGTAGGACCCGGAACCGTCCCATTGACCGTTTGACATTGGCGAGCGTAGCCATCTGGCTCACAAGGTCCTTCTTCTATCGACAACCAGTACTCGCGAGTGACTCCCGTGTCTGGTCCTTCATCGTAATAGTTTGTATCGATAGAGTAGTTTCCCCAGCAGTGTCGTGATTTGTTTGTGTTGTCACATGCGGCCCGAGGAAGGAGATTGTAATCGAGTTGTGGTGGTGTTTGCCGTAGAGCATGGAGAGGGGAGTGTCGTAGAGAACGGAGAGAGGAGGCACACACACTCGCCACAAGGGCACTGAGTACGCAACCAAGCGCTGACTTCATCCCGGGATATTAAAAAAATGCGGATGGTGGCTTTGCTGGCGGATGCGTCGGTTTAAGGTGAAGAGCCTGGGGTAGGGAAAACGTTCAAACAGCGATTCCCAGACATAAAACAAACCCAGCGGGTAACATGGATACCAACAGGGACGAGATGTAAGGGTAAATGAGCTCAACACCCATGGATTGTTTATAACCGACCCATATAACTCAAAGAGCTCTTCGGTAAAGCTCAGGATGCCATTGTTTCCTGCAGTCGACTCTCACCAGAGCGTGACATGCGCATGATGTGCTCATGATGAGACGAGATGGTCAGGGACGGACGGGAAACTGCGAGAAATAGGACAGTTGATTTGCGCAGCCCTGTGAAGGAAAGCCCATATCGTCAAATCCACTATCTCCGACCAATCCGTGGCGGACCCGAGCCTTCAAGTGATGTTGGAAAGGACGTGTGACGAGACTAGCACTAAAAGGACATCCAGTTTTGATAATGGTCATGGTGTAGTGCTCCCTGATAGAGAGCTCGACTGATGGGTACCTACCGAAGTGTTCCATTTCCAAGGCCATGCGACCAAGTGCACATAGGGCTATAATACATGTACCTTGCGGCACTTGGACCTTAGTCTGCCGACTTGTGCGTTAGTTCGAGTCGCCAATGAGTCTCCAGATTAGTCAGATGCCTGGTCATTGTGTGCTGGAGCTGAGCTCGCACGCTTGTTGGAGCCTTTGGTCTGAGTGGAAGACCAATTTGGTTGCTCCGAGGAGATAGCCCATCAGGAGGACGTAGGGAGGCAATACGTGTGACTCTTGCCATGCACTCTTTCGTGAGAATGACTCCAAGGGCGACGGAGTGAGATCAATCTTGAGGCTGAGACCGCGAGCACAGGGAACGAGGAGGCTGTATCATGACCCAGGGGCGAAGCTGGCTAGGTCGCATACAGACCAGAGGCGAGTGAAGCTCGAAGGAAGTGGATTGGAGACAAAAACGGGGCCGAGCAGTCTGGGGCTGTTGTTCACATGTGCCGTATGAATTCATGAAACTCGGTTTCGGGATCTGGGAAAAGCTGCCAGCGTCAACCTATGGCAATGGCATGAACGCAGCTTAGAAGAGTCAGGGTTCGGGCTTTGCCAGTGATCGGAGCAGTCTGCGGTGCTGAATTTAGATTGCTTGAGACTGGCGGATTCTGACGGACCCCGAAGCACAAGTTTCGCGAGTTTCTCTGTTCCCTAGCCTGCATCATTCAAGTCGACTTGCCAGTCACCAGTTCAAGTCGTTGAATCGGAGACGCCCGAAAGGTGGCTTGGCATAAGATGGCTCGAACGATTTCTATGCTCAGCCTTGGAGAAGCACGTATCGACAGCTCAAGGGTTTGGCAGACATGCGGCCGGCCCGTGAGATGCAGTCTAACGTACTTCAGCCACAGGACAGGACGTCGGAGATGGAGCACAGAAGTCGGGTAGGAGGTGAAGATCTCGCTGCAGGCGGATCTCATCCGAGCTCAGATGACTGGAAAGTTCGTTAGCCTTATGAGCTCTGTCCTTCTGACAGAAAATGGGAGGTGCGATGACGTACTTGCAGCACTTGCGATCGAGTAAGCCACAACCGCTGGGGCGGATATGGAAGCATTAAATCAGGAAGCCATCCGGATGTCCTGTGGAAATAACATGAGATGAACTCAAGTCATGGTGAAACTGCTTTCGAAGCCAGTCAAGTAAGTGGTTGGGCAAAGAATAGGTAAAGAGCCGGTCACATCTTTGACAAGAAGATGCAGTGAAAGAGGAAGTGAAGAGGAAGTTGGGACATGCGGCGGGAGAAATGAAGAAACTCCTTCAGTGGCGGGAAGTCTGTGATGTGCTAAGACGGGAAGGAACCATTCAGCCAACCTGAAGGTTCACCAGCCACCGCCTAGCCCACTGAACGATAGTGTGGCGCTGCCCTGAAGCTAACAGCGGCTAGGCTCGCTAGCCGCTGCCCTGGTGGCCTGTGGTTGCCGATCCCCCGCACAGTTCCTGATCAACCGGCGCGTAGCCCCCCACCTGGTGTCAGATGTGACGGTGCAGGATTGATTGATTGAAGAGTGTGTGTGACTGACTCGCCCAGAAGGTATGGGGGGTGCTGGGGTAACCCAGATATGCCCAGAAATCAGGCAATATTAGGTAGCTGGAGCGCTAACCTCTATATAGTATGGCTAAAACCACCCTTGAATCTAATATACCCCTTCACTTATAGACTTTGCAAATAGGGTAAAAGTAAAACTATTTATAGAATTTCTCTTCTAGTACGTCAATTTCTTTAGCCAAATTGTAAATATCCTCCAGAATATTATTCGGAATCTCTTTATCTATCCCTATCTCTTTACGAACTAATATATTCATTATTCCTATTAATTCCCGGAATTTTTCGTAATCTAATTGTCCTAGAATCTTCATTAATCCATTAACTAACATTTTTTTCGTTTCTAAATACTTAATTTCAATCCTTCCCTCTATAATTTCCTGCCTTAACTAATAACAATAGATATTAATATATTTTAATTTAATTATTAACTTCGTTACCTCAATAATTAATATACAGATTATTTATATATCATTAAAACCGATTACGGGCACATCCTTATCGAAGGAAATATTAATCTCTTTATATAAATGTATAACAGCAATAACTTTCTTAATAACGTTTAAAATCGATAATAACTCTACTTTTATTATTAAAATAAATACTATCTTTTATTTAATTATACCCTAATAAATTAAATTACTAAAGAATTTAATTATAAATCTATACGAATTCATTCGATCTAGAGAATTGTCAGTGTACAATATATTTAAAGTAATTTTAAATTTCATTAACTTACTATAATAGAAGGAAAGATCAAAATAGTATTAAAGGTAATATAAAATTTTATTAGTAGCTTTTGTTAACGTGTGGCTAGTACTGTGCCTTGTAACTGCCTTGTACTACCTTGTAGTATAGAAGGCTAGTTGAACTATTCCTTCTACGGAATCAGTTGACTCAGTCCCCACAGAATGTACTAGAATACAAGAGGTTTTGCCACTGTATTCTAGAGTCTTATAACTTAGCTAGCATTTCTTCCAGACTGATTTGTCATCACAGGATTCAACAGAAGCTTCTAGATGCTTAGTGTCCATGTATATAGAGACCTCTCCTCTCCTTCAGTTCGTCACTCCTTAAGCAAGCAAGCACAAGTCAAGCAATACAATATAGTCTTTTTTCACAGTGCAGAGTCCACTGTAATCTTCTGTCTTGAGAGCAGAGTCCTCTCTAAGACCTCTTTTACAACATCCTTTTATTGTACTTGCAACTACGCTGCTTCCTTCAGCATTGCTGTCGTACTTCCTACCGCTTCCGCTCCGCTCTGCTACAAGTGCATAGTTCACTGTAGCAACCTTGTACTGGTGCTATCATTATAGGCCAGTCAGGGCACCGCAGGAAACAGGTTATGAGCCCGGGAAACAAGAATACCCGGATTCAGCCTATCGATTCGCGCTTCCAAGTCACGATCGATTCTTGACCCCTTGGCTCTGTACTACAGGCCAACCTCCTATCTCTCTTCTCGGCAAACAGCACTGTACTACAGGCTGTAGACTGCTCATCAACTGCAAATAGTACTGTACTACAGACTATTTTCACTGGTCCCTCAAGCACCCTTCATTATTGCAGTGCTATAATGGATCAACCGACTGAACTAATGGATCATACTGCAGCTTTTCCTGCAGAATATCCAAGCCTGAGCTTACAAGGCTTACAAGCTCAAATTCACAACCTTGAAGGCCAGCTTCAGCACGTTATTTCGCTGCTACAACAGAACTTGGCTGCTCAACACTCTTCTCAGACTCAACAGACTCCTCAAGCTGAACAGCCTCCTCAAGCTGAACAGCCTCCTCAAGCTGAACAGCCTCCTCAAGCTGAACAGCCTCCTCAGGCTGAACAGCTTCCTCAGGCTCAACCAACTCTTCAAGCTCAGTCAACTCTTGAGTCTCCTACACCTACCTCGGAGCCTATTACAGCTCCAACGCTTTCAGCACACCTCGGAACTGATTTCAGCGCTCTTACTACCAAAGAGCTTGCTAAACAGTCACTCCAACTTGCTGAAAAAGAGCGTCTTTCAGGACCTGAAAACTACAATCAGTGGTATCAGGCTATTTCTATCCAGTTCAGGGCACTACAAATTCCTGAATTCCTGAAAGACCCTGACCGAGTTAACGCCTTACTATTTGATCCTCAGAAGGCTGCCTTGTTATTGACCCTTCGGAATACCTTAAAACAGGGCCCCTTATCTACTATTGCCTTCGAAACGGACCCTGCAGAGGCTTACAAGCGTTTGCGTATGCAGTACGCTCCCAGCCAGTCAACCCTCCGAGACTCCCTATATAAGGAGTTTCACTTCCTTAAGTTTGATGGATCTACTACTATAGTAGAATTCAACGCCAAATTCAACACCCTCGCGAGCCGACTTGCTGGTCTCGGCGTTAGGATAGCGGAAATTGACCAGATCAACCACTATTTTAACGTGCTAGAAAGCCACTTCTCTCAGTGGGTAGAGCGTTGTAGAGGCTTGCTGCGGCAAGAACAATGGCTCTACAACACAGAAGGCAAGATTACTAAACTAAGCCTTCTGTACTTCCAGGAAGACCTACTAGCTGAGACTCGGAATTCGACTACCACGACTTCTCAACAGCTGTTAGCTTTGCAAGCTAGCTATAAGAGAAACCACAGGTCGAAAGATAACAACAAGGCTAATCATCAGAACCCACGGTCTACTAAGAGGAAGGATCAAGATATTAAGCCCTTCAGCCAGCCGTCTGCTAAGCACACTAACCCTCAAGGCAAGCAGCAAGGCAAAGGCACTAAGAAGAAGGCCCAAGGAGAGTCCTTCAACATTGAAGGCACTGAGCAAACAGCTTCTAATGAAGCTTTCACTATAGGCTATAACCTTGAGTCTGGCACTATATTCGGAGCAGACAGTGACTCTGAATTTGTAGCCACCGAGGAAACTCCTGAATTCAGCCACCCAACTATCAAAAACAACAGCCAATGGCTCTTTGACACTGGGTCTACAGTGCACATCTGCAACAACAAAACCCTATTCTCGGACCTACAGTTCTCTACCACTCTAGGCACCGTAGGGACCGGAGGT